CGTGCCGCAGCTGCAGTGCGCGGGCGGCGCGGCCGGCTGCGCCGCCGCCCCCGCCGTGGCGCAGTGCTACAATCGCGGCACGGACGGGCGCGACGTGCAGGTAGGCGGGAGCGCCAGGACGGGGCAGCCGGCTTCGAGGACAACCTGAAAAAACCGTCCCGGTTCATTTTGAGCTCTCGGTTGTTTTCAGAAATCCCTTTCCTGGGGCCTTTTGACTGACTCGTTGATAGCTAATGCATCGTTTCGTGGATATTTGTGGAAGCAAGGGGTTGTTTCCGTCTCCCGAGGAGCAGGTGCTTCTCTGACTGATGTTTCTTTCGCTTTTGCAGTGGGAGTGCAAGGCAGACTTGGAAAGCAGCTACCGCTTTGGAGAGATCGAGGTGAGCTGCGAGGGCTACGACTACCCCGGCGATCCCTACATCCTGGAGGGATCCTGTGGATTGCTCTTCAGCCTGGAGCTGACCGAGGAGGGCGAGAGGAGGGCGAAGGGCTCCGCAGGCTTTGGCTCCGGCTACTACCAGCCCAGGAAGGATTCCCTGGATTCCGTCCCCGGGGTGGTTGTGGTGCTTGTTCTCCTGGCTCTGGCGTATGGAGTTTACAGGCTCTTCCTCAGCAACCAGCAGCCTCCGCAGAGCTTTGGTGACAGCTTCTCCAGGCCTTCCTGGCAGGGCCGGCAAGCGCCCCCTCCTCCTGGCTTTAAAGCCACCTTCACAGGTAGGGCCGCGAGGCCGGCGCGGGGCAAGGACCGGGAGGCTGGGAATAGTTTCTGTGGATTAATAGTGGAAAATGAGAAGTTGAGCACGCACACCGAGAGCCACACATGGCAGAGTTGACAGCACTTTGAGTGCCTACTGTCAGTTTTTCCTCATGAGATTTTGCTGTGGTGGTGGTACTTCTGAAACAGAAAACGAAGAGGCAAACTAATCTGGGGCCAACTCAAAATTGTTATGATACTTCTGGCATTTAGTATCTTATTTCCAGTTTTACCAGCAGAGCAAAAGTGCTCAGTCAGGACAAGCAATTTAGTCCACCTGCTGCTGTTACCCTTCAGTTGGCTTCCTTTTAAATCTCCTTAGCAAGTGGAATGTGTTCTGTGGAGCTTGTTCAGCCAGCGGATCCTCGTTGTGCTCCACTTTGTGGTTTAACGTGATCCTCAGTGCTTATTCTGGGCTTTTCCACGAAAGATGACTCTGTTTTCTGTGTCAGTGCTTGATCACGATGCTCTTGAATAAAAGATTTGGTTCCTCTCACTAGCTAACGTAGCTTTTCCGGTAAATTAAGTGCTATATTTTTATTTGCAAAGCAGCATAGCTTTGTGGGTATGTCATCACTGTGATAGCTGCCTTTATTCCAATGCATTGGAAATGGAATCCATTATCAAATCCCATGTAGGCTTAAAACTTAAATGAGAATTTCTGTAGTCTGTGGCTTCAACCAACGCATACCAGTTTAAAGAAGAGAAATTGGGCCACATACAACTCAATGGCATATGAAATCTCTGGGCTCCTTAATTATTTCAGTCTTTGTCTTTTGTACTTTGTTAGGACTTATGTTAAAGCTTTAGCTTAGTTGTGTTAGGGCTGTTTATGTTTAGCAAACATGAGGGCTGCAAGGTAGTTTTTAACATAGAGCAGCTCTCTTTTGTTGCTGGTGGGATTTTTTGCATATGTGTTTGATGCTTCTTAACATCTTTCCCATTAGGCTTTATCTGTAGCCTACTGAAATTATCAGGAATTTGGTGCCTGATTTCCCATTAACAAGTCAGAGTGGGTCCTGTTGCAGTAGCTGGTGTGACAGTTAGTTGCCATTAACTGACGTGTTTCCTCTTTTCCCCTTGACTTAAGAACCTGACAGCTTTGGGACTCCTTTCAATCATGGAACCAGTTCAGGACCGGGATTTTGGACTGGATTAGGAGCAGGAGGCTTGCTGGGCTACTTGGCTGGTAGTCATAGGTAAGATATAAGGTTCCACTCCCGCTTTAAGCTCAAGGTTCTTTGCTGTTTTTTTCTTTTTTTTTCTTTTGACGTGTCATTCAGGCTATAAAATCCTATCACAAGAGCAGTTTTGGACAGCAGTCTGTAGCTCCAGCGGTGAAGCCATTTCTTCTAACTTCTTTCTGGCAGAGGAATTGAGGGCACTAAAGTCCCTCTCTGCTCCAGGGACTTTGTAGAGCCCAAGCAGTTTGTGCTGTTTATCTAATGAATGTCTCTGTCAGTTCTCTTTCTGTAAGCACGTAGTGATATAACTGGTTATATAAAGCCCCGTTTTCTTTACATTGAAGGTGTGGGAGTGGGAGAGACTGCATGGGCAGAGCGTTTTGAAGCATCTGCCTGCTTTGTAAGGCAGTGTGGTCAAGAAGCCTGGGCAGGATTGCCTGTCTTTTAAGGAGAGAACGCTTCGGAGAAGAGAGAATCTCTGAAGAATAAAGAAAAAAAAGTGTCCAGCAGGCAGTTTTTAATGCTGCGTAGAGTAACGTGAGGTGAGTTAGTGTTGTGGGAGGTCGCTGACGATCCCCTCCTGTGACTCTCTCTTGCCAGAGCGCAGCCGCAGTCGCCGTATTTCGGCACCTGGGCCCACCACGGGGCTGCGCCGCCCGCGTGCGGGCAGCCGAGCGGTTCCACGGGGGCCGGCGGCGCGGGAACGAGAACTGCTTCTGGTAAGGCACGAGGGGCTCGCGGTTACTGCTGCCCTTCGTGTGTGCTTCACGCCATTCTCTTGCCACCTTGAGCTTTTTAAAATATTTTTTTCTTTTTCCCTTTTACAACAAGACTGGTTGAATTGAACTTTTTTTTTTCTCCTTTGCAGGCTTTGGTGGCACAAAACGAAGATGAAACCCCTGATGTTGTTGCATCTCAGCAATGAAACGTGACTTCCTTGGTGTGTGCTAGCACCTTTTTATAGCAGCAGGCTCTGGGGGGTGGATATAAGGTGTGAAAGACTGGGCAAATCATTCCTTTTCCCCTGTGGCAATGCAGGCCCTTCAGGGCATTGCAGGTACTGGAACATCCACTATTTCAAGAAAACAACTTCTCATAAGATACAAAATAACCACTTCCAAGTTGGAGGGATGATGCGGTTGCCTGTGCTTGACTAACGGTGTCATGGGTAACCTCACCCGCTTTTCACAGCAAGTAGCTTAGTCATATACCCTGGGCTAATCATCATTTAATCCAGAATTCCAGTGTATTTGGGCAGTTTTCTGATTTATTTTCCTTTGTGATCCAGCGCTTGGAAGGCGCTCTTATGTAATCCGCCTGATTCCCAAGGGCCGCCACCTCCTTTGGCTTGTCCTGGTAAAATTAAGCACACGTGCGTGTGTGGCCTAGACCACCTTCTAGAAGAAGAGAGAGGTCTCCTAAGGCAAGGTGATTATAGGCACTTTATCCCCATGTGAAAACCCGAGGTTTTGGGGTTGTGTTTAACTGTGAATGTTAGCAATGTTGTGAAAGCTTCGGCTATGAACTGGCTTGTCCCTCTTGTATCCTGTTTGTTTTTTCCTGCAAGAGCCACTTACCCAGATCAGGGTAAAAGCAAAGGTGCAAATGGAAAGGGAGAATCCTTCCTCCAAAGCTGGTAGTATCCCTACCATGTAGCAGGCCCTAAGCCTGAGCAAAGGAACCCAGTGTCTAATGAGACACAAACCTCTGAGTTTGCCTTTAATTTTGTTATTTAAGTGTTGTCAAAGAGTGAATGGGAGCCTTTCGGTATGAGAGAGGCTCACCTCGCAGTGGGGGAAGTGAAGGAAGTAAATGGTAATTTACTTGTGTAGCTTCTGTGTGTAAGTGTATTCAGGCCAAAACTAGTTGCAATAACTGAACCAGCTAATTAATTATGAAATTGTTTTTTTGTTGTTGTTTTTTTACTGCCTAACTGTGTCAGTAAGTTTAGACCTGGATCTAATATTACGGTGAGGTGTAAAGTGTTGCGGGTAATGTTTTCACCTGTACTTACACCTCCTGCATTGAACCTGTTGTGGTGCCCAAACCTGATGACTCTGTGGCCTCTGGATGCTGCTGATAGGAGCTGATAGCCGCCCCCCCAAAAAAAAAAAAAAAAAAAAAAGTGTTTTTAACACTACTAGGAAGGGTGTTAGTCACCTTCCTCCGTGCTCTTGGGTGCAAGGTGAATCACCCCCCACTTCTCTGGGACAATCTGTTTGTTTCGCTTAAGTGCAGCTACAGCCAAAACATGTTGTCACGCTTCCTCCCTTGCCTGCTGGAAAGGCAAACAAAAAACAAATTCAGGAAAATGCAGATTCTCCCTTTGTCCTCGAGGGCATGTGGCCGGGAGGAACAAGCATCGGAGAGGAATCACCGAAATCCCAGGCACAGGGCGGCGAGGCGGGGGGGCCCGCGCCTCCGGAAGCCGAAACCGCGGTGTTTGCGGGCGGGGGGTGTCCCCTCGATGCCAGCTGCATGT